GAACCGCAGGTACGAAACATGACAGGAGACATCATCATTGGCAGGCAAATTGCTGTCACCCAGGACCCCTTGAGAGGGAGAATTGTGTGATTCCACCCCACGTATTCACCTCAGGGATGTGTTGGTCTTTGCCTGGACCCTACCCTTGACTGGGAGGATGGATGACAACCCCACCTGTGCCCACAGCTCCTTCACTCTCCCGTCCAGAGCCCGGCAGTCACTCCTGATCTGCTCAAGGTCATTCCTCGCAGTGTCATTGGGGTCCATGTGGATGGGCAGCGAGGGGGAGTGGTCAGAGGGCCACGTGATCCTCTGCCTGGCTGCCAACCTCCTGGGAAGCTGGGCCAAGCAGGCGGATGGGTGTCTCCATCCAGCTGAGAAGGGAGCCACAAACCAACTTTGTATCAATTTCCACCAGTTTAGGATGCAGCATTTGTCTCTGGATGCTTCTTCCTAACCCACATCAAACACTCGGGGTGGCCAAAGCCATGGGAGCCTTTGAGGGCTGCATCCCAAGAGATGTGGTGCAACCCCCAGAGGAAGGATTGAAGTCCTGGCTTGGCAAAGCCCTGGCTGGGATGATTGAGTTGGGTTGGTCCTGCCTTGGGCAGGGGGCTGGACTCAATGACTCCTGAGGTCTCGACCAGCCTTGGAATTCCAGAAACGCAGGAGACCAAACGTCTCTGCTCTGCCAGAGCGGAGTCTGTGGGGTTCATGAGGGACCAGGCTGCTCCAAGCCAGCCGAGACTGTAGGGCCACCGGGCTTTGGGCTATCGTAGGTCCCATCTGTGCCACCAATGGAGAGTTGATTCTGCAATCTCCTTTACCGCCCTTATGACTTCAGCTGAGCTCTGTCTGTAGCCAGGGGTCCTTCCAGGGCTACTGTCATCGCGTGGCACGTGGGGTGGTTCCCCTCAGGGATTGAGAGGTGCCATGGAGACCGGAGTTGTCTATTTAGCCCCAGTACAAGCTGGGCCCCTGTTTGCTGCGTGCGCTGGCTGGGAGCAGTTTCAGAGCAGGGAGGGGATTTCTGCCCCCATCCTCTGTGCTCCTTCGCCGCTCAGCCCAGCCTGCCCGAGGAGAAGCCGGGAGCAGCCATCTGAGGATCAGATCCCTGTGTGCTATGAACTGCATGGAAGGGCATGGAGAAAGCAGCAGGATAAGACAGCGATGGGGCATTTCTGGCAGGTCCATGTCTAAGCGATGACTGAAAATCCTGGCGGTGAAATGCATCCCAAGTGGGGAACCATCCGGCAAAGTCCAGCACGGTGAGTTCGTTACTTCAATTAAACGTACTTAGGGGTTGATGTATTGGGGAAAATTAACACTAGAGCTGCAAGTTAGTTACCGTGGGAACTCAGCCAGACTTTTCATGTCATTGAATCAACCTTAGAGCTGCTCAGAGGTTTTTGTTTTCCTTCCTCCAGGAGAGAACAAGGGGCCTTTTTACAGAAATTGAGTGAAACCCAAATTTTTTATTTGGGAACATCTTCCAGGGGGTACAGGAACCCACAAGAGGAGAGGCAATTCTCCATTTAGTCCTGAGTGGAGCGCAGAATCTGGTCCACAAGGTAACTATTACAGGACAGCTTGGGAATAGTGACCATAATATAATAACTTTTAACATTCTTGTGGTGGGAAGAACACCTCAGCTGTCCAAGACTCTGTCATAAGAAAAGTCAAAAAAAGATTTTGAGGAACAGCTAGCCAAAAACTCAAAAAGAAATAGCAAAATGTTTTTTAAGTACATTAGAAACAGGAAGCCAGTTAAACAACCAGTGGGGCCCCTGGATGATCGGAATACAAAAGGAACAATCAAGGATGATAAAGCCATTGTGGAGAGACTAAATGATTTCTTTGCTTTGGTCTTAACGGCTGAGGATGTTAAGGGGATTCCCAAACCTGCACCGTCCTTTGTCGGTGATGAATCTGAAGAACTGTCATTGAAATGTCATTAGAGAAGGTTTTGGAACAAATTGAAAACTTAACAGTAACAAATTATCGGGACCTGATGGCATTCGCCCAAGGGTGCTGAAAGAACTCAAATGTGAAATTGCGGGACTATTAACTGTGGTTTGTAACCTCTCCTTTAAATCAGCTTCTGTACCCAAGGACTGGAAGACAGCTAACATAACGCCAATATTTAAAAAGAGCTCTGAGATGACAGACCAGTAAGTCTAACATCAGTACCGAGCAAATTAGTTGAAACCACAGTAAAGAATAAAATTGTCAGACATGTAGAAGAACATAATTTGTTGGGCAAA